TGCATGTCTTTTGACCTACACCTTGCCATTGGCAAAGCATGGCAGTAACTTCTGATGTGCCTTGGTACAGAAAGTGAGCCTTTGGCTGCTGCTGCTGAATTTGCAGATAGAGTAAGTATTACAACTAGGGGCAGCATTAAGAATAATCAAAATTTTCTCATCACCGAGGCAGTGATTTGAGTGTCAACAGTCCTCTTTTTGGAACTTTCCTTGTGCGTCATAAATGTAATTGGTTTAAAAACAAACAAAAAAGTAAGAACCAAACCAAACATGGTTTCTCATATATGTATATGTAGTTTATCATTTGCTGATGATAGGCAACAGGTGAACTCCTGCATTGCATGGCACTTCTGTTGGTCCAGGAGACTGGCTTCAGGCTGGGAAGGAGGAAGGCAGTAGTTACAAAGATGCTGTTTGTACTTCCAGACTCCTGAAATTCTGGTTCCTGAAGTTGTAAAACATCCGATGTTTCTTTTAATACCCTTCCTGTTCCTGATGACCCTTTTGTTTCCTCCACAGCTGTAATTTTTGCTTTTAAAAGAATACTCTGAGTAACTTTGCATGGCACATTTTAAAAATAGGAAGTATTACACGCTTGTTACTACAGAACATCACTCAGTGTTTGAAGTTGGTTTTTCCATGCTATCTTGACTGGGACCTCCTTTTGGGTCCTTTCCTTGCAAGCTGTTCCTAAATTTTACGTATGTTTTCAATGCAACATCTCAAAGATCCATCTGTTCTAAGTTTGCACTTAACTGGTTTGTGGAAAAAAAAAAAAAAAAAAAAAAAATTCATTGAGGCTTTTGCCACTTCTCAGTTTCATGGAGAAAAGGTGGTTTTTGCCAAAAGAGGTCTGTATTACATTCAGTTCTGAAGGGCCTTTGGTTCCAAGTGCACACCTGGGCTTCGCAGGCATTTCTGTAGCTGAAGTGGTACTGTGCTCAAAAACAGAGATACTTACTTGTCTGGGATGTGCTGCATCTTGTGCCATACCTATAATTTTCTTCTTTACGCCTGTGATTACAGGGCTGGCTAGGCAGCGCTCGCTTGGGTGCTTGTGCAGAACTGGTGTCAGGCAGCGAGGGAAGGCTTCATGCCTGGGAACACCGCATCTTTGCATTTAATGGAGTTGTAAAGTAGCTGTCAGCTTCTAAAGAAGTAAACGGTGTTCTGTATCACAGCATGCTCTGTTTCTGGCATACCTGTTAATTGCTGCTAAGTGACAGCCTTGTCAGGTGTGCTCAATTAGATTTACAGTGTTTCCAGAGTTGAAAGTTTTGTATAGAGGCTTTGAGAAAGTGTTGTCTCTGAAACATTGACTTGTTGTGTGAACATATAAACTGCAGTACAAAGTGCATCCTTTGCTCAAGAAGCTCCTGAAGAGAAAGTTTTATTGGAATGTACTTGGGCCATCAAGTCTTTAAGGACTTTAAGGCGAGTAAAACAGAAAAATGGGAAAGGTGCTGGAGTTTGTTTGATGACAAGGGCTATGGCTGGCTTATTTTTCCATTCTTGTGCCTTGCTTTCAGGTTCAGAACCTTGATGTGTTTGGGCAGTAGTGCCTTATGTCATATTTCAACCTGCACTGGGAAAACTGTATAAACCCATATTTTTTTAAAGACATTCTCAAGGCTTAAAGTCTTCTTCAAAGATTTAATTTATTCTGAATTAAAACCGCTGAAAAGAGTGTCACAAGTGAATGGAGTGTAAGTACAGACAGATAAATGACTGTGCAGAAACAACATGGGAGTGATCCATATTTATACCGTGTCACTTTTAATGCATTAGCTCAACTCATTCATTACATAATTTTCTATTCCTTTTCAGAAAACAAGCTGCAGTCGTTGCGCTTTCTGTTGTTAATGATGTTTCCTTATATTAGCTTGAAGTTTTGAGAAAACACAACCAAAAACATTACACAGTTTAGCATAATATTTCCACAGCTATAGAGCCGTAAGTAGAAATGTATGCTTCTCAGCTAAAGAAACAAATATAATTTCAGACAATGAGGAAGCAAATACCTTGGCTGAGAAACTAAGTTTTCATCAGCTCTATGTATGTCAAATGTTAGTTGTGTTAGAGTACAAATACAGAATCCTGTGTGAAGAATTACTCTTCCCATATGATTCATACGTCATTCTTCTGCTCCCCCTCATTGCCCAGGGCTTTATTTAGTCAAGAATAATAAAGGTAACTGAAAACAAAGAGCATCACTCTGGACCTTCCCTGAGTTCACCAGGCAAACCCATTTGTTATGCTGTTCAATGGGTTGTGATTTTTTTTTTTTTTTTTAATGGAATGTGGCATAGCAGTGATGTGGGAGCCTCGTTTAAATATCTGTGAATATACTTTAATCATGGGATGCTCAGTAAAAGAAAAAAAGACCCAGTGTCTCAGTCCCCCCATTTTTTTGTCTGGTGAGGGATGTTTCAATTACAGCGCAACTTTAGAAGAGATGTTAGTTGCATTGATAGTCTTGGTCTCCGTAACATCCTCTCAAATGTGTATTCTGTTCTTTCTGATAGATTGTATCACTTTGCAAGTAGACGATTGGGTGTGTTTCTCCTGATAGGTAATGACTTCTCTCTTTCCCACTCTTCTTCATGTATGCTGCTCCCTGGAAAATGCCACCTGTTGTACCTTCTACAGCTATGTTGAATTATACTCTGTTTTGAAGGAAGCACGTTGTTTTTTAAATCCCCTAAAAGGGTTTTATCAGGAACTGTTTGATAACTTCTTTGTTTCATGTAGTAAGATGTGCCATGTGGTGCATTTTAGTGTGATAATGGTATGTCTGAAGTGTTTTGTAAAGCAAGTACTTTAATCAATCATGTAATAATGATACTGTGCTTTACAGTAACAGCTTTCCTCCTGATGCTTGTACTGATCTCCAATTTGTAGTTTTAAACCAGCAGAATTTAACATGCAGATCTCACTGTGAAACAGTTCTGTCACACGATAGCTGATTATCAGTGCACTGTAGCGATGTATGAGATGTTATAATGTAAAGTGAAGGAATGTTCTTGTGTCTTAGCAGTCACAGAAGGTTCTTGGTTTTGGGAAGAAGTGGTTCATTTACTGTGCAGCTGTCAGGTATGGTTGAAGTGGAGGTGTGCTCTGCTCTGTTCAGTAGATCGCCTGGCCATCTGCTGCTGTCACTGCCCAGGCTGTCAGCTCCTGTGTGGTATCTCCCTTAGGATTATCATGGAATCCTTAGAGTTGGAAGGGACCTTCAAGGGCCATCTAGTCCAAGTTCCCTGCAATAAACAGGAAAACCACAGCTAGATCAGATTGCCCAGGGCCTTATCCAGCCTTGCCTTGGAAGTCTCCAGGGATGGGGCATCAAACATTCTGCTGTCTCAGACTGATTTCTTCAGATTTTGGAAATGAGGAGTGGAGCCAAAGGTATCCACTTGCTGTAAATGATTATTGAAGAAGCGTGTTGTCTGTTAAAGCTGACACTTTCTCCATTTCAAAGCATCCTTTCTACTTGTGGATGTAGGTATTAGAACAGATAGGGTTCTGTTTTTCGGCCTTCTTGGGAACAGAAGATGCTCCTTAGCTAGTTGTCATACAAATCCTTATCATCCTTAGATTTCTAAAGCTTTTTGAAAAATTCCTATCAATAAAATTGCTTCTTATGTCTTGAAGTTTCAGCTCCTTTGTGGGAGAAAACTTATTTCACGTTCCCTTATGTAGATATGTGTATATATATATATATATCATAGAATCACCAAGGTTGGAAAAGACTTGTAAGATCATCCCGTCCAGCAGTCCACCTATCACCTTTGGACTCTTTGCTCTCACATAAAACAGTGTGCACACAAATGCAGCCCAGCCTCCTGCTGATGACCCAGAAAAGACTGAAATGGAGAGAGATGTTCCCCTCTTGACTTGCTGTCACCAGCTCCTGATAGTTTGCTTCTGACACATTTACTTGCTTCGCCTTGGTTCATCTGTGGATCTGTCCTAAAATCAGCAACTGGTTGGGCATCAGTCCTTAATCAGTAAATTTGACTTTTTTTTTATTTTTTTTTTTTTTTTTTTTTTTTTTTTTTTTAATTTGATTACAAGACTATAATCTACACGAGAGTTTGAAATAGAACACTCTGTACCAAACATGGCAGGGAAGAGTATTTCATTTTCAAAGCATGGAGAAGCTTGCATGTTGTAGGTATGTTATCAATCAGACTGATTGGTCTGAAAAGAAAGGATATGTGAAAGAAAATTCTCAAGCAAACTTTTGGAGGTACCAAGATTTAAAAATTAAAACTGTTTCCTTCTGCCCCCCTCTCTGGAAATTTCCATCTATATGTTTAAATTTCTGTATCTTTAATCCTCCTGTATTAGATCAGAAATCCCTGTACGATGCTATGAATATTTCTGGCTGGGCTGAAGCAGTGTTACTTCATCCCACTTTCAGTTGTCCTTGTGGAATTAGATAATGAACTTTTATTCTTTGTAGAATCTAGGATTGCATATCAGTACTGAGATAATTTATTTGCTGGTGTTTGCTTTGAGAATGGTAACTCTTCTGCCATTGGGCAGGCAGTGGAGTTCTGGAGACGAGTAAAAGCAGCAGCCACCGCTGCTGAAAATGTTCAGATTGTAACTTGTAATGTTTTCCTCTTGGATGAAGAGAGCAAATTTAACAGTAGGCTGGGTGATAGAAGGGCAGACTTGAGTTTGAATCTTTGTTTTGTGTTGAGTGTTCGTAAGAGATTTTAAGATTTTAAACAGATTCTGTTTAAAATCCTGGCCTTTGCTTTTGCTGTCTGCTTGTTGTTTGATACTTTGAGTGCTTTGAGAGTCTCGGATAAAAGGTTTTGTTAAGTGTTGCACTGAAAATTACCTAACTAGTTGGTGAGCTGGTTCATTTTGTTACACTCACGGAAGAAATATCTGTGCTTTTGCAGGAGAGGCCTTTGTAAAGGTTACGTACCATGCTCTATTAAATACAGACTGCAGACATTCATTTTGCCCCTCCCTTTCTCTTTCAGACTCCGGGCAGAGTTGGGTCTCAGAGCTCAGATTCCGATTCATCTGCCGCTCCAGGAAATGCCGTGGATGTGAACAATGAGGGCTCCTCTGAGGTACTGTGCACTGATTTGTGGGGCTGGAGTTGTGAACCTTGTGTCTGCTTGTCTCTGACCCACAAAGCTGTTGGGCATTCCTTCGAGTGCCGCTCCTAAATGGCAGCTGTTCTATGTAAATACTTAAAAGTGCCACTGTCTAAAAATAGGTTCTAATTTAAATAGGAAAGTGAGAATAGACCGTATTTATGTGACTTTTGTTTGTTTATCTAAATGATGACAGGCAATCCTTCCTGTTATCGTAGACATGAATGATTAAAATGAAAAGCAGTAAGATACAAGCTTAACGATCCTCTTTTATAAATGTTTAATGAATTTTGAAAACTCACCTGTACTTCTTTTTCACCTTGCATGTGCTAGATATTATGTATTTTGGGAACCTCCTTCTCCAAGTGAAATATCAAATGTGTTGGTTTTTGTTTGGTCTGTGAACATAAAGCTGCCATTTGTAAGTCCTATCAATTTTCCTAAAGTGCTTTATGCCACGCTTAGCCAGCAGAGTAAGGTCTTATTCTTGCTTCTATCCTACGTTACAACGTCTTTGGATTTACAATGTTGTCAAATATTAACTTTTAAAAATGCACGCTGACTTCACTGGCTGTTGAAGCTATTTTGTGCTAATGTAGCCTGATTACTGAGCTTGCGAATGTTTCAAGCTTAGCATACAAATGCAGTGCAAGGTTAATTACTCCTGTTACAGCATTAAAGGGAGCAAAGTGCCCTTTCTTACACTGAATGAAGTGTATGATGAGTCAAAAGCTCGTATGTCTGTTATGATAAGCGATAAGAGAACTTCTCCCTGTGCTGTTCAAAATTCTAATTGCCTTCCATCTGTGCATCTGCTTATGTCTTAGTTCTCAAGGCCGTGTTACAATCAGTATGATCAGACATGGCTGAATTTATTGCTGTATGTTATACATGTCATGCATCTGTGAGTTTTGTATGCATGTTTACACTGTCCCTGACGTGAATAAATATTCTTAAAGTGTGTCTAAAATCTTGTCACTATTTCAGTTAACTACAGCATAGAAATAAGCAATGAGATGATTGCTTCTTTCCAAAGTTTGGCTAAAATGGAACAATTCTGTTATCATGATTGTAATATCGCTGGTGGGTGTCATGAAGTACCTTGATACTAATGTAGTGTTGTTTGTTGACATAAGCCATACTTTGAAAGTGCTGGTGTGCCTGCACTGCTGCACCCTTAGTTCTTGCTGCCCTGCTGAAACTCAAGCCAGATCACTGTCTGTGTCACTTCTGGATGATGCTGTACACATATATAACATAAAAGTATCTTTAGTTATCAGTAATTCCGCCATCAGCTACATTGCTTGCAGGTAGGGTGTTGCATGTGACTTCAAAATCTGATCAAATCTGAGTTCTGAAGCTGGTGATGGTTTGTTGCTCTCTGAGGTCCATGCATCACTGTGTGCAGCTTGAGCCTTTCTCTTGGTTGTGCTTTTCCTTTGCAGCTGGTCTGAGGTGTTTGCTTTCTGAGAACTCTCAAATCAAACCACTGTAGCCAGGCTTTGCAGAATGTTTGCTCTCCTTTATATAGTTATGATCCCACCTGGTTCTCCAGTATTGCGTAAAACAAAAAATAATCTAATGGACTTGTTTTCATTCCAGTTTATAGCTAGATTTTCTAATTTGTGTTGCTGTAAGATTCAAATGAATAATTACTAAATCTGACTAGATTCTCATGTTTCATGCCTCCTTCAAACTAGGTTGAAATCAATCCTGAGTTTCGAAAATTGCAGTATAAAACAAAAGGAATGAGGGAGGCTGATTAAATTAAAACTATTCATTGCTCAGCAAAAGAGATAGGCCTGTTTTAGTTTCTCTGGGGCCACGTCACCACTACAGATCACGCATGGGCCTGCAGTCAACTCTCGATGTATCTTTTATTCTCTGTGCAGCCTGACAGAAGGAAAAGTTCAGGCCTGTCCTTCCTTTGTATCTTAGATTCCACTGCAACTCCATGTGCAGTATAGGGTCACTAAATATTCCATGTTTGCAGGGTGTCCACCTGTGAGTTACACTTCTGTTATGGTGTCACATGGCTGCATTGGTGGGACAGTTCTGTCTCAAGACCCCATTCTGCAGGTGCGCCTCCAGGTGTGCAGGTGTCCCGCAGCCATAGCATGGATGGGCACCCACAGCACGCTGTGCCACGTCTGCTTTTTCTGGGGGTTGAGCGTGTCTAAAGCTGCTGTTCTTTAGAAACTCATTTAACTTTTGGCTTTGGTAAATCCCTGGTGAGCATGTTTAATCCACCTCTCCCATCTCCCTCTTCTGCCCCGGGGGGGGGGGGGCCGTTTTTTTTTTTTTTCTTCAATTCTGCCAAAATGGTGTTTCTGTTTCCCTAAGTGACAATGCCAACTGACTGTGCAGTTGCACTTGCGCCTGTGCCTCTCATTCTACTGTAAATTTGCTTACCAATTTACAGAAGTATTTCTGCAGTCTCTGTGATGATTTTGGTCTCTTTCTGTCCTGGATCTGAAAATGCCTGTGGGAAACGGCCTGGTGGATCTGATGCAATGCCTTATAATGGTCCATTCATGACTTGCTATGCAGCACATTCCTCTGTCATATGAAGGGGATCCCAAGGGTGTCTGGAAAAGACTTACTAGTATGCAATATGGTACTAGCTTTTAACATGTGGTTTAGATTTATTTTCACATTCTTAACTGTTCCTTTTTGTCTTCTTCATGGTATTGAGACGTGGTTTGCAAAAATTAAACGTCCAAAAGGAAATAGCTGCAGACTTTGCTTTAGTGATTGTAAGAGCTTCCTGCATAAGAATTTGAACACTATTTGATTCCAAAATCTTCTTGTTTTTATTGGTTTCTTAAAGACAAATATACATTTCACAGGGCTTCATCTGTCCACTCTGTATGAAAGTGTGTGTAACTCCTACTGATCTGTCTGAACATTACCAGAATGAGCACATGGGGACAGAAGGAAGACAGGAGCTTCGTGACATTCCGGCTGTTACTGTGGGTCTTGTTTATTTTGTTTCAATAGCTTTGGTGATGGATTGTTTTAAATGAACATACCTGTTTTCTTGTGGCTTGGATATCAACTTTTAAAAAGTGTGTTTGTTTTGATTCCTCTTTAAAAAATAGTTGATCTCTTTGCAAGATTGAAAAGCATACATTCAGCAGAAGAATGCATTCATGTATATCTCTCTGGTTTGCAGTTATGTCTCATGTGAAGTATTCCCAATATTGGGAGACTTACATTCACTCTTTATTCCTAATATTGGGAGACTTACATTCACTCATGTATTCCTCTTGAACAGCTTTTACTCGTTTTTCTTGTAAGCTGAGCTTACATTATTTGATATATTCTCCTTCAGACACAGATTCCTGATAAATACAGTATTAGGTCTGGTTTAAGATATTGTTAGCTAACATTTAAAGCAGATTTCTAGAGGGAGACTGATATACTGTGAAAGGGTGGAGCTGAAGATAAAAATTTCAAATACGTTTTAAATCGTATTTTTTCCCTCAAACATTTTAGAGCTTTATAGGTTGGGGAAAAAAAAACACATACAAAAAAGGAAAAAAAATGCACAACATTTAATCGAAAATGTTTTATATCCTTGACAAAATACAAAGGCTGTTTCAGTTACTAGGCTTTAAGTACTAGTAGTGCACTTCTGAATTCTTACAGCTGTGGAATGTAGAATGTAAAATAACAGCCTTCAGCTATCTGATTGGTTTTCTTGTTTCTTTTTTTTCCTCCCTCCATGAACCTTCAGATTTGACTTTTAGAAGCAGGTAGTCTCCTGTGCACTAAATGATCTTGAGTGGAGATAAAACTGTTTTACATTCTTTCTGCCAATGTTGCTTCCAAGTTTTGGAATGTTTGTTTGTAGCTGTATGACAGAGGAGAAAGATCTGAAGGTGCTGGTCAACAGACAGCTGAACTTGAGCCAGCAGTGTGCCTAGGTGGCCAAGAAGGCCAATGGCATGGTGGTTTTGTATCAGAAACTGTGCAGTCAGCAGGACCAGGGAGCTGATCTGTACTCTGTGGTGGTGAGTCTGCACCTTGAGCATTGTGTTCAGTTTTGGATTCCTCACTACAAGAAAGACATGGGGGCCCTGGAGTGTGTCCAGAGAAGGGTAACACAGCTGCATGGGGTCTGGAGCACAAGTCTGATGGGGAGCAGCTGAGGGAACTGGGATTGTTCAGTTTTGAGGAGGCTCAGGAGACATTATTGCCCTCTGAAATGACCTGAAAGGAGGTTTCAGTGAAGTGAGGGTTGGTCTCTTCTCCTGAGTAACAGTGATAAAATGAAGGGGTACCGGCCTCAAGTTGCACCAGAGGAGGTTCAGGTTGAGTATCAGGAAGAATTTTTTCTCAGGAAGAGTGGTTCTGCACTGGCACAGGCTGCCCAGGGAGGTGGTGAGGTCAGTGTCACTGGAGGTGGTCAAGAGCCATGTGGATGTGGCACTGAGCAGCGTAGAGGTGTTGGGTTGACAGTTGGGCTTGGCGATTTTAGAGGTCTTTTCCAACCTTTATGATTCTGTGATTAACTAACTCATCACTGCCTCCTGTTGAAGCAAGGAGTGTCTATAGAGCTGTGTTTATAGTCGTGTTGCCTTTATTCTTTTGATTTTCTGGTCACTATGCAAGTGCCTTATGTGAATAAGCTAAAACTTACTCATGGCTTATGGTGACAGATTGGGGCATTCCTGATGCACTGGTATCAATAGATACTGTGATGTGAGCCATTAGAGAGGTTTGGTTACCTGAAGGAATCACTCTTCTGTATAACCTGGGCTATTTTTAATACAGTTTTGTGGAGTTGACTGTAGCTTCTTGCCCACTTTTGATTTTCAATCATCAGGTACTTCTACTTGATAGTAGAACATTACAACTTTTTAATGTGATAGAACTTCTGTACTGAGCATGGTATGTGAAATACAAATTCTAACTGAAACATCTGAAGCTTTTTGGCTCAGAGATTCAGAAAAGAGATGAGAAAAAAGGCTTTATCTATTGTATTAGAGTTCATGGAAGCTCTGAAAAAGTGGGGCATCTGCTAATCATTATCAGTGCTAGCATGTAAAATGTTAAATATTTGACTGCTGAGAAGCTGTTTGTTTCTATTTGTTGATGGGAAATGATAGTTTGTAGTTACAACAAGCACATCTTGATTCTGAAACAGCGATGCCTGTCACCCTTCACTGTGTCTTTGCCATTCCTGAGGCAGCACTGTAAGAAGAGTATAATCGGCTATCAGTGCCATCTGCTATTAGTGTCATCTTTTGCAGCAGACGTACAAAACATTGCTGACTTCTGCTTACTTAGACTGATGTAGGGGTGTCTGTGACTTGCTGATGCTCCTGTGAAAAGCTCAAATACAGTTTGCTGGAAACAGTGCTGAAGAAGCTCTGGAGTTCAGTTTTTTTTTTTTTTTTGCCAGTGCATTGTCCTCAAGTGTGGAGAAAGGAAGCACTGCAAGGTCAGTGTTTATTCTCATGATGTGTGACCCAAAAAAATGTCTCTTCATTGACAAAAGCACTGCTGCCTTGCTTTTGAGTTTGCCTATTGCTTTCTTCCCTGACCCCTGACCTCTCTTTTGCTGATAGGTGCTCCCTGCTGATTAAAACTGAAGTAACTCAGGTCACTTATCGCCTTGTGATAAGTGTTCTCCTTGCCTATCCCTCCCTGTGTCATCTTTGCAAGGAAGGACGGTGGCATTCTTCAGGCAAGGTGTTCCCTCCCAAAACTTCTGAGTGTGTCTGATGGCCTGCTGCAAGAAAGCAGACACCACTCGCCTGGAGATTTATTTGTAGTCTTTCTCTTAAATGGCTCTCCTTGCAGTCCTTCTTTTTCAAACTAGGGATTGCACGATATGATAAGTGGTTAAAATAACACTGAAGTATTTTTCCCCACTCCTCACACACTGAAGAAACTTCACCTTAAAAGTTGAGGCATACTTAGCTGCAAGAACAGGTACCATCATGTTAGCAATTGTCTTTGTCAGTGTATAGCCAACTTGACTGAACAAATTCCTTACGGAAGTTGAATGTATCACCACGTTCCCAGATAGAACATTGTTCCCCTTTTATACATATTATATAACTTTTTTTTTAATATATATGACTTTCATATATAGAGCTGTCACTAACAACAGCTGTGTTGTTTGTTCTGTTTTTTTTTTTTTTTCTTCCCAAAAAGGAATGGTGCATTTCTAATCCGTTTCCCCCATTTCTTTGCTGTTTCTTTTGGGCATTGATGATGATTAAACAGTAAGTCGGAGAGGCATAATTTCACACTTCCTGGTTTCACCAGAGGCATTCAGAATGCCACTGTGTGGTACTCCTGCAGTGTTCAGAATGTAGTGGCCATTAATGTCTATTGTTTTAGCTGCAGTGTGGCTAAACCTAAGGCAATATTTAACAGTTCATTTGGGTTATTTTTGTGACTTCACAGATGCTTAGTAAGTACACATTTCTTGACTAATACAAACAAAATATAAAGCTGTTTTCTGAATAGGCTTTTTATAGCATGTTTGCCTAGAGTGTACTTTGGAATACTACATATGCAGAAATGTTTTCTGTTTTTGTTTGAAAATACTCTGTTGTTCTTGATTATTTTTTTTCCCATATATTTTTCTCATATCTCAATTGATTATACCTTTTTTATGGATGTCCTTGGAACGTTGCAGACTGTTCCCCCACACCCCCCTGCTCCCTGCCCACGCAAAGCTTTAATGCCTATGTAGTATTTTATGCATCCTTTTTGACTCGTCTTTGAGTTGCTTCTCCAATGAGATTGCAATTTACACCTTGGTGCTACTTGCCTGCTTTGCACGGGCACAAAAATCATTGGCTGAGCTACACTGGTATGTTAATTTTCTGCAGTGTCTGAACAATACTAAGAGAATGAAGAACTGGAGATACTGATCCGATTTGACTTGGATGTGTGCTGCCGCTTTCTTTTAAGAAGCAGGGAATCCACTGAATTAGAATTTCTAATTCGTGACAAAATTGTAATGTTGTAGGTTGTGACAGAACTGTAGTCTTACTCATCAATAGTGATAGAAACAGAAGAGAACCAAACTAGAAATTATGTTGGCTCTATTCTTGTCAAGAAGAATCCAGCTTCTTTCCTGGAAATACATTGTCTGCAATATGTTACAAAACAAACTGTAGCAAGGTACCCCTTTTCTTTTTGATCAGAAAGTTAAATACTTACTACAAAGTTGAGATGGACCGTGGGTCCTAAATATCAGAAATATGACATTTTAAGATACTTTTTTAATAATTAAATTAAATAGAGATGTCATCTCAGGAAGCTGCTGGCATCTTATTGTGTATGTAAACATGGAGTGCTTTTTTCCTGGTAGAAGCACGGAAAAAAAGTCTGTCAACAGTATTTTCCTTTAAAGAATATGTAAAGCAAGTGCCCTTATTTTTCTTTCACTTAAAGTATCCCATAGATATATACTCAATCAATATGTAAGACCTCTGAAATAGATTACAGATGTGGTCTTGCCCTTGCTCTTGAGGAAGGCAATTGAATTTGCTTCTGAGAACGTCCTGAGGATTTAGTTAATTGCTTCAATGTGTGTTAAGGAAACAAAACCTAGAAATGACATGATACAGCGTTCAGCTCTGAGTCAGACTCTTTTTGTTCTCTGGCCCCAAGTATGTACGCTTCCCTAATCTGTCCTATGAAATATTTCAGCCTTTGCATCACCCTATAACTGAATGATATCTGAGTTTTAGTTTCAAGTTATTATGTGAATGCTGGTGATGCCACGTATCTGGAAAGGTTGGGAAGGTTCAGCTTTGGTGGAAAAACACTAACAATGAATTTAGAATCTTTCCAAATAATTGTCACACTTAAAAACTAAAATCAGCTCCAGGAGGGTGATTATGCCTCTGAGCATGTGAACATGCTCTTGAACTTTCTGTTCTAAATGTGCTCAGTGTTGTTACAGCAAGGTGATGCTTTGAGCAATACACTTGTGAAAAGG